TGAGCACAAGGGATACTGCACTTATCAGAAGCAGCAACAGCCATGTCAAAAAGGACATTAGGAATAGCCAGAAGGCCTGGAGGGAACTGAGAAAGAACCGATCCACAAGGAAATCTATGTCTTGCAAATTGAGAAGTGTAGAAATAAAGCATTCAAAAGCCAGGCTGATTTAGACCTAGCCAAGCACAATAAAGCAAACAGCACGTGAAGTCAGGGAGCTGGCAGCCAGGATTATACGGAAATCGGCTGAGTTGGGGGGGCACAGGATAAAATGTATATGTGTAATACAGAGCTTGGGGCTCCCTGTTTCCTTAAGGAAGAAACTGCTCAGCGAGGGGGCACTGCTGGGCAGGCAGAGCGCAGCAGCTGCAGGCCACCACAGCAATGGGGCAATGAGGCAATTAGCAGGCACCTGCAGGCAGCCCACCAACTGGAAGCGGGAATGGCCCTGGGAGGATATGAGCCCAGAGCCTGGGCTAGCAGGCCAGTATCTCCCTGGCAACCGCCGGGCAAATTGCTCCTGCCAGCAGGGCTCCTGAACGGACCACGGTGCTGCTCGTGCATCCCCGGTGAGGCTCGGGGAGCTCCCTAGGGCATCGCCCAGGGCTGGGAGGCTATCCTAGCTGAGCGGTGAGTGATTAAAGGAGCAGAGGGCTGCTTACCCTTTTAGTATTTATGTTATAGCCCAGGGGCTTATGGTTTATGTTGACGTTACACTGGCAGTTTGGGTTGGGACTCTAGGGGGGGGTTTGAAGGTCCCATTAGTGCCCGAGGGGCACGCAGTTGCCTTGAGCCGTGCCCAGGGTAAGCTCAAGGCTTGAGCAACTGTTAAGCCCAGAGAGGGGCAGAGTGTGAGGCCACAGAGCCAGACAGGGGACAGGGGCCCAGTGCCCAAAAGGGGCCAAACCAGAGCTGATGCCTTGAAACCAAGAGCAATACAGGGGGCCTGGGAGGAAAGCTGAGACGAAAGGCGTGGCAGCCAAGGAGGTTGAAGCCCAACAGGAGAGCAACATTACAATAACACCGGTGAGGGTTGGGGTGTGGTGGAGGGAAGGAATGGAGCCATGCAGTTATCTCATAAGGCTGTAGGTGCCCTGCAGGGCACAGTCGACCAAAGAGACCCAGTGAGGGATGTGGCGGCAATGCAATGGAGGCCAGTAGAGTGCCAGGAAACCCAAGCGGGACATTCATCTAAACTGGGGCCCACAGGGAGCCTCCCTCTTAATAATATTATTATTCCATCAAGGTGTGGTGTGGGAGAAGGATAAGTGCCTAGAGGCAGAGCAGGGCACGGCCGTGGAGCCACCAGGCTGCATCACGGCTGCCCCTGGGACCCCGACGTGCTACCATATAGTAGTTGCCTGATGGATAGTATATGGCACCTGTGTTTGAAGAAAGGGACTAAAAGAAGTCAAGCCAGCTACAGACTTATTAGTCTGACTTCAGTTGCATGAAAGGCTTCAGAGCAAAATTGGAAGAAAAGAACAGGAAAAGTCGCAGATGTAAGTGGAAAATGAGATAAAGTTCAACATGGGTTTGCCAAAAGCAGGTTGTGTCAGACCACCGTGATTGAAAACAATTTGTTGTGTCAACAGAGGAAATGCAATATTTCCCATCTGCCTGGACTTCAGTGAAGCCTTAGAGATGGTGCCGCATGGGACATTATTAGTAAAACTAGAGACAATGGAGACTGGTAGGGGAGTGGGTAGAGCAAGGTGGGGGAGGAAGTGGCTAAAGGGGCAACAACAACAGGTAGCATTGAAAGGGCTATCAGGCTGGACAGAGGTTACCAGAGAAATCCCTCCAGGATCAGTCTTGGGACCAATTAATGACCACAAAAAGTAGGAATCTGCTGACAGCATGGAGCTGGGAGGCATTGCCATTGCTGGGGAGAGTGGAAAAATCACCGAGGAAGATCTAGATGATCTTGAAAGTAATAGAAACAGTGTCAAATTCAACCATGCAAAATGCTTGAGGGACTAATCCGTGCAACTTCCCACTGCAGCCACCAACATGACATAGCCACGGAAAAGCAAATGCAGTCCTGCAGTGTATTGGGAGAAGTACTCCTTGTAGTGATAGGGCAGTATTTGTGCCTTTGTACAAAGCCCTGGGGAGACCTTATCTGGAATACCAGGTAGGTGCTGGTCCCCCGTGTTAATAAAAGGCAAACTCCAGTTGCAGGGCAGGTTCAGAAGAGATGCATATCACGGGAACGAAGAACTGACCCTATGGGAGAAGACTAAAGGGGCTTGGCTTGTGCAGTCAAGTAAAACAGAGGCAGAGAGGGCATATGACCCCAGCCTATATATACCAGGAGGTTAAAACACCAGGGAGGGAGAAGAGCCCTATAGGCTTAAACCACGTAAGTCAGGTAATCATTGGCACAAGAACAAGTGTGGATAAACTGGCTGTGAATAAATTTAGATGGGGAATTAGAAGATCAGAGCAGAGGTAGGGTTGGGACAGCTGCCCACAGAAGAAGTGGGGGACATGTCACCTCACTGCATTTCTGTTGGAGCGTAGGCCTATGAAGGGGGTTACGCAAAGCAAGGGAAGGCCTTGGAGGCCCCTTCTGGTCCCATGCTCCTGGGAATCCATTGAAAGCAGCAGGTCTGTCTTGCCAAGCAGGAGGAACGGCAACTTTGGGCGGCGGGTTGGCTCAGTGACCTGAGAATTCGGGTGCACCACGCACACGAAGGCAGCGTGGTCTGGAGGAGAGTGCAGATGCCAGCAGATCAAGAGTCCCCAGTTGCTTACACTAGCAATAGAGTTTCACACCCGCTGTGCACGGAGGCAGATGATGGACTGTGCTGCAGGCTAGTGGAGGATCTGCCCTCAGAGCCCCGTTCTGAAGCCACCTTGTCATTTCAGTAACTAGGGAGGTAATGGGGGAAGTACAGCAGAGGGCATCTCTGCTGATCTCTGAACGTGAGAGGGGAAAAAGAAACTTGGCTGGAACATCCGAGTGAGAAACGGAGTTTAGGAGAGAAGGGACTTAGTGGGCGTATCTATACGTTCATTAATGCGCAGCAAGTTACTGCACATTTAGTGTAGTACTTGCTTAATGAAGTACTAACTAAATGTACAGTAACTATAGTTACTGCACGGTGGCTCCGGTGCACTTTTTTATTGTGATGCTTAATGCACAGCAACCTAATACTACTGCGCAGTAGTGTATTAGCACAGTTTTTGCCCGGCACACTACTGAGCAGTGTTATTAGGCTAATGCACATTAAGCATCTTGTGTATACGTGCCCAGTGTGGAGCAGCGGATGTGGCCATTGTCCACATGCCCGCCATTACCCCGCAGTAAGGGGAAACTAACTGGGGGAATTCAACTCTTTCATAGAAGACAAAGCTCCCACTTACCGTGGGACAGGAGAGGACATGTGAGACAGCTGCTCCTCTTTTTAACTTGCTTCCATTTGGTTATCTGCCCCTGCCCAAAGTTTGTGATTTCTTGTATTTGTGGGGAAAAAGAAGAGTTTAGAAGCAACTTGCCCACTTTCGAAGGCTAAAAGCAGAAGCACTGCCAGGTTGCTGAAGAACATGGCAATGCATGGAAGAGAAGACCGAGGGGGATTGAATAGCAGCCTTCACCTCCCTGCAGGGGGTTGCAAAGAGGATGGAGCTGGGCTGTTCTCAGTGGGGGCAGATGGCAGGACAGGGAGCAATGGGCTCAAGCTGCAGCAAGGGAAGTCGAGGTTGGATATTAGGAAAAACTCTCACTCAGAGGGTGGTGAAGCACTGGAACGGGGTACCCAGAGAGGTGGTTGAAACTCCATCCAACCTCTTGGAGGTTTTGAAGACCCAGGTAGACATAGCCTTGGCTAGGATGATGTAGTTGGGGCTGGTCCTGCTTGGAGCAAGGGTTGGACTAGATGTGACCTCCTGAAGTCCCTTCAACCCTCATTTTCTATGATTCTGTGACTCTAAGAGCAGAAAAAGATGCTTTATGCTTGTGGATAGCACTGTCTGCCTCCCTTCTCTGTCCTCCTTTGAGCACCCATAGGTGACACTGGGGCAGAGAGAGCTGGGCATTTGCACCTCCCAGCCCGGGTCATGCGAGCCAGTCCCAGAGGCCTCTATGATGTTCCCCAGCCATAGTTGCTTGGACAGCAATTCTGCCATGGGGTGTTTCTGCCTATGTTGTGGTGATGCCATATGGCATGAAAGTTACCCTTACCCAGGGCTTTCTCCCTGCCAGCTGGGATTCAGTAGCTTGTCACTGCCTTGGGGACTAGCGAGGCAGTGGAACAGATGCCTAGGGACATCATGGAGTCTCCATCGCTGGACGTGTTCAAGAAAAGGTTGGGCAGCCACTGGTCAGGGCTGCTCTAGGCATAGCTATGCCTATGCTTTACTATGTGGGATTCCCAGGCTTTTAGGCTTTGCTGGTTGCCCTCATCCCTACTTTCTGCTCCGTGTGTCAACTGTTTTTAGCCTTCCTCAAGGCACTGGGTGTTGGCTGCAGTCAAGGCTTGGGGTTTTGACTGGGATGTGTCAATGCTTCTGTTGGGACCAAAGACATCTTCCTAGCTAGAGGGTCTTGCCCCTCCACTCAGTCAGACCAATGCTGCAACTGGGGTCAGGAAGGAATTCCCCCCCTGGTCAGACTGGTGTGGACTGGGGGGTTTGCCTCTGCAGTAAAGGCATGGCCTCTTCCTGGGATCTCTTGAGCGTACATTACCAACCTTGGACAGAAGCAGGACACTGACCACCGTGGTCCCCCTGCTTTCCCGGGAGCAGATGTCTCGTGTTGTATCAGGGTTGACTATGCTAAGAGTTTAGATGATGGGTTTGTCTCGGATGGTTTGGACAGAGCTGA